AGCATGGGAGGTCTTAATCTTTGGCACACCATCTGTTGGCGAGAGAGAGGGTTTTCTCAGTAGGACTCCCACGTTTCTAGAACTTCCTGCTTGAGGAAATACGTACCACCTCACCATGGCTGGCTTAAAATAACAACGACAATGACACAAGCCCCAGAAGCCAAATTTGTGGCTGTCGACGTTTTGTTGAAGCATCTGCAGCTTTTTGGAATTGTGGGCATCAGTGCTTCTAAGCAGGACTTGGCCCTAAGATATGGGCATGAGCCACCACCACCACCCCACCATGAAAAAAAGAGAGAAGAAAATGTGAAAAAGAAAGTTTCTGCTTTCAGGGAAAAAAAATAATGGGGCAGGATGGGATTCAGCAGGTTCATTTCAAGGTTTCATTGCCCTCTAAAGGTTGAGTGCCATGGGGAAATGTCTTGGTGGCCCTGCCCTAGTGACAGCCCTGGGGGACATGGTTTGAAGGCTGTATTTGCCTGCCTTCCAGGTCAGGAGAGGGCAAAATCAGCGTGCCTTGGAGCCGGTGATTTGCCTCAAGGTTCCTCTGGGGGCCAGGCAGGTCCTGAAAAACAAAACAGAATGGGAAGCTGCCAGAATCACACTTTTGCATGCATGCATGCACGCACAGAGAGGGAGAGAGAGGGTGGAGGAACCTGCTGGGGTCCCCTATAAAAACAGCTTAAAGCCCACCCTTTTACCCATCATTGTCTAAAGCAGGGGTTCCCAATCTGGGGTCCCCAGATGTTCTTGGCCTAAAACTCACAGAAGCCTTTTCACCACTAGCTGTTCTGGCCGGGATTTCTGGGAGTTGAAGTCCAAGCACATCTGGGGACCCCAGGTTGGAAACCACTGGTTTAAACCAATAAGGCTTTTGTTTAGTTCCATGGCTCTTGCGCTGGCTGAAAATGTTTCGCACCTCCACTGGGGGGTAAGGGAAGAGATTGGCTAGCATCCTACGACGTGTAGATATAGAACATGTGAACACAGAGAGAGAGAGAGAGAGAGAGAGACAGACAGACAGACAGAGAGTCCCAGGAAAACTCTGCCATGGTGGCTTACTATCTGTAGGGCCTGGGGAATTCTGTTGGGTGGCCTCTTAAACATGGCTCGAAAAAAAAAGAAGCTTTCAATCAAGAAATTGGTCAAGTGGAGAAATTTTATTTGAGACAAGCGGAAAGATCTTTAAAGGAAAGTAATAGTAGGGCAGTGCCACCGCTAGGCCTGAGAGTCAAAGTCAAATATGGCTTTTCTGACCAGGCCCATGCATAGCAATCCTGTCATGAAAAGGGGACTACTAGATATTTTGTATCCCAAGAAGAACAACACTATATGTATATATAAACAGCAAAGGACCTCACAAGACACATTAAAACATGCAAAATGAATATACTTTATTACCTATTGATTACAATTCTGATAAAAGGGGTTTCATGCATTCCAGTCACACCTCATACAGACTTCGCCCAAGAGAGAAGAATTCTTGATTTGCGTCGTCCAGGTTCCAAAGAAAGTAGTTGGTTCCAAACATCTTTAGTTTCAGCAGACAAATTCTACCTGCCCTGACCTCTCTTTTTATATTCTTTTGGGGCAGGTTGCTAGCCGTGTATGTGCATTAGGGGCTTCTTTGTTTCCCCCCTAGATAAATGGTCCTTATCACCTATGGTGAAGTATGGAATGCTTTTCCCATAGTTGCACTTAGTTGATCTTCCATCGCTAGTGGGAAGATCCTCCGACCTATACCAGGGTCTTCTTAATCCTGAGTTGCTCTACTCCCTGAATGAGCAGCAGATGGTTTATGTCAGCTTACTGACAAAGTTCAAAAAGTTCACAGTTCAAGAGCTGAATTTCTCACAACGAGGTCTCCATCTTTGGGTCTTTGTTCTCTTTCTGGTTCTTCACCTCATTCCAGGCCAAACATTCCCACACACCTTACAATCCCACAGCCCTGCAGCCCACCACCTGTTTAAGCACAAAGCTTACTGAATGTGCCCAGTTAGTCAGACCCTGCCTACAATATAACTCCAACGCTCCGGAGATGCAAGTGCATCTCCTCCTGCCTTTTGAAATGGTCTGGCCAAGATCCCCTTTTCAGAGGGCTAGTGGTGGCCAAGTATTGGCTTTTACTGCACCAGGAGAAATCCAGGTAAAAAGGCTTGTAGATTTTATTAACCCCACATCTACTTTTTCTTTCCTAATTCGAGGGCTGCCTACCTGTCAGGGCTGGTGTGAGGACAAGCATCCTCTGTTCCTTTTTGTAAGGGCCTGGGGAAAGCAGGTGTAGAATTGATTTTGTTTCATTCCGCTCCCCTTTCCGAAACTGAGGTGAAGACACGGCTTTTCTCCTCCCCACAACCTTGGGAAGTAGGGAAGCTGATTGTTCCTGGATAAGGACTACCTGGGGAGTTTCATGGCCCAGAGAATTTGGAGATTTGGAGCCAGGTTTCTTGAATCTCATCTCAGCCCAACAGCCTTGGTGCAGATTAAACCGCAGTCCTGCGGTCAAGCCTCTGCTCACGACCTGAGTGCAATCCCCAGGGAGTCAGGTAGCCGGTTCAAGGCTGAGTCAGCTTTCCATCCTTTCCAGGTCGGTAAAATGAGTACCCAGCTGGTTGGGGCAAGGTGGTGGTGGGGGGGAAGAGTGTTGTTTGCCTTATTACGGTCCAGAGAGTGTTTTTTTAGCAGTAGGGGGCGGCATACAAGTTGAAAGAACGACAACCACATTCTACCACGCTATTTTAATGAATGAATGAACGAACGAATGAATGAATGAATGAGAATATGGCATGGATGCGCTTGCTTTCCTCCTTCCTTTCTCCTCGCTCACACACATCGTGGTCGTCTTCTTCTTCTTCAGCCAGCTTCTTCCCTCTTTCCGTGACTCAGGGCAACTTGCTTCCCGTGGAAACGGATTGGCTCCGCTTCTCCCGAATCCGGATCGCTCTTTTCTCCCCTTTCGCCTCTTCCCTCCCTCCCCTCGCATCCAGCCTCCCTCCCTCGTGGGCCTGACTGCCTCCGGCCACCCCTTCCCTCCCTCCTTCCTCCTCCTCCTCCTCCGCCTCCCGGCTAGTTTCCTCCGCCTTCGCGAGGCGGGGAGGGACTGGAGAGCGGGAAGGTGACGCCGCTGCTCCGGATCGAGCTCGCGTCGACTTTGTTTCTGCGGGCGGAACTGGCACGTGAAAGGAGGGAAGGAAGCCGAGCTCGGTGGAGGGGGGGAAAGATGCTTGATCCCGGGTGCCAGGTCGCCGGGGTTTCGATTCGGTCTTATCTTTGTTTTGGGTTGTTTCCCTGAAGAAAAGAAGTGAATCCGGATTGGCGTTTTTGCTCCGGATTGAAAGCCGAGGGAGGGGGGGGGCGTAGTGGTTGCGGATTTGTCGACGACGCGGATGGGCCGTTTGGGGCTGAGCCTCTTGGAGGACTTCGAATTGGATTCGATTTGAATCGGGCGCGGGGCAGTGCGCGCCATTGAAAGCACATCTGGTGGCAGCGGGATCGCGGATGGAATGGATTGAAAAGAACGGCCGCGATCCGCCTCGTTCAGCCTCCCCATGTTGCCTTTTTCCGCCTTCCGGGCGGCGTCATTCCCTAGCTGGCCGGGAGAGTAAGATGCGCCGGTGGGGAGCCCCCTTACCTGCGAGGAGCCACGCAGCCAAACTCCGGCTGCTCCAGGTGGGTCTACTCGGGTTTCCTTCCCGGAACCCAAGCGATGAAGAACGAAAGAAAAAAAAGGCGTCCCCCTCGCCTTGGATCCTTTTAAAGGGAGACCGTGGAGGGGGGGGTGAGGAGGGATCGGGACCCTGTACTGTCAGCCCTAGCCCATCCTTGTCTACTCAGAAGGAAGCCCGACTGGCTGGCTAGCCGCTGCCTTCCTTCAGGACGGCTCGAGTCTCCAGCCCGCAGGCTTCCTCGGGAGTAAGGCGTGGGAAATTGGGGGCCGCGCTCGAGCAGGATCGGACCAGGGCAAGTGTAAGGAAGCCGCAAGTTCAGCGGGGTTTGGTTTGGCTTGGGAGGGGAAGGGCTGTTTTCCGTCTGAAAAACCCAGAGCCAGGATGAAACCGGAATTGCTACCCGCGCGCGGTTGCATCAGTTTATTGGCGAGGGGAGGGCCGGCGCTTTCCGAGAGGACCCAGGTGTTCTGCCTGGCGGGGAAGGGGAGGGTAGTGACACCTCCCGAGTAAACACAGCCGTACAAACAGGAGGGAGAGAAAAAGACACTGTTTAGTCTGTGGAGGAGGACTTTGGAGGAGCTCCAGAACGTGCTTTTTGGGACTCCTTCCCTTGAAGGCGAGCCTCGGTTACCGGGAGCCAAAATGTATCCCTTCTTCCTCGGCTTTTAACTCTCCCTCAATCAATCGATCGATCGATCGATCCACGTCGACCTCATTGTCTTGGCAGAACACATGGGAAGGCCAGCAGCGTTATCAGAGGGCAGCGTTTAGCCCGTCGCGCAGGAAACCCACGAACTTTCCCGAACTGTCGGAAAGACGCAACACGAGGGGGCGCCGGGACTGCTCCGCAATGTCTTTCCTGGAGCGGTAGCAGCACTTTGCACATGGTCCTGAGGACCCTTGCCGCTGTGATTTCTTTTTTTTGTTGAACTCGGAGGAAAAAAACAAAACTGGAAGGGGGGTTAGGTTTTTTTTTGTTGTTGAGCGTTTGACTGCTCTTTCTTTTTCTTTCTTTCTTTCTTTCTTTCTTTCTTTCTTTCTTTCTTTCTTTCTTTCTTTCTTTCTTTCTTTCATAATTTTCTCCCTCCATCCTTCCATCATTTCTTTCTTTCTTTCTTTCTTTCTTTCTTTCTTTCTTTCTTTCTTTCTTTCTTTCTTTTCTTTTTTTCTGTTGAACTAGGAGGAAAAAAACAAAACTGGAAGGGGGTTTAGGATTTTTTTTTTGTTGAGCGTTTGACTGCTCTTTCTTTCTTTCTTTCTTTCTTTCTTTCTTTCTTTCTTTCTTTCTTTCTTTCTTTCTTTCTTTCTTTCTTTCTTTCTTTTCTCTACCGCCCCATGAGTGCGATGCACTCGTCTGGACAACTTTGCCACGCTTAAAAACTTCAAAACCGATCAATCGGATTAAAATAAAACACGCAGGGAAGAGCGGAGGGCCAAGACGGCAGGCTTTATTTTGCTGCTGCTGCTGCTGCTGGGCGTCGGTGGAGGCTTCCGCCCGCGCAGGGGGTGGGGGAGTGTGCGCGCGTGGGAGGCTGCGATCCCGTGCACCTTTAGGCGTCATGCTTTCTTCTGAGGGTCATTCATCATTTCCGCCGACTCGATCAAGCGGAGGCTGGCGAGGTTTGCCAAAGGCCTGGGCGGGTTAGCTCAGACCCAGCCGCCTGCAAGCTATGGGTGTTAAATAAAAATCAAAATCAAAACGTGGTCTCCTCTTTCAGCACCGTCCTGTAATCCCCACCCCTTGAGGAGGGCTGGTTTTCATCTGTTTCTCGCAGTGTCTTCTGTGTATTTTATATTTTTGACACTCCTTCCCTCTCCCTCGGCCCCCACCCACTTTTTCTTGGACTACAGGGGTCGGAGGCTTCTTGTTTTCCCCCTGTCTAAAAGAAGTTGTTCCCACAGGACCATCTGTTTCTTGTTGAACTTTTTAAGAAAACACACTGGCCTTAAAAGGCTCCAGTTGCAGCTTTCCTGGCCATTTATGGAGGGCCTGAGTTGTGTTTGTGTTTCTTCTTTCCAGGGTTGTGTGTGTATGCAGCATACACCCACACTCAGCACATGCACCTCAAGGACTGAAAAACTCCCCCTTTTTTTGCAGACGTGGTGTGGGATCCAGTGTAAAAGCTGTGTTGGTGCCCGGTGTGTGTGGCTTAAAGCGCCTGAACCGCAACCCCCTGTGTTTGTGGTAGCTATAGCATTCGTGTACACAAATGCGCTAAGTGGGCAAAGCCTAGGAAATGCCTTTGGTGTGGGTGAGTGTGTAACGCTTGGAGCTGAAACATGAGAAAAATGCCGGGCTTCTTCTTTGCCAGAGTTCGTTATTTCTTTATTTCATATAGAGAGCTGCACAATTTAAAACTGTGGGTATGTGAAATATTGGCAGAATTTGAACAAATTAAAAATTTAAGATAATTGGACTAATTTTGACCAGAAGCGAGCTATTTCAATAGCATTATTGTGGCCATTTGCTAGATCTTTTGTACACATAGTGGGGCATAAAAGTCTGAGAAAATTTGTCCTGTATCCAAGTAACCACATTTTACTTGATTATTCTTTGACCCTCTTGCTTTCCCTTGAAATCTATGAATGATGGTCCAGCCACAGTCTTGTCTTGGTGGGAGACACTCTTCAGAATTCATCCCTTTGACAAGGTGTGCCATTTCTGATCTCTGTAGGTTTAGCCTAGCCTCTTCGGGCTTGATATTTAGAGCTTCAGAGGCATGTTCTCCAGAGTCCTTCTCTTCAGAACTGACATCGTAAAGCAGAGGTGCTGAAAACGTGGCAGGAAACCACATAGGGCCCTTGGGTGGCTCACTAAACCCTATAATTTTAGTCGTCAGTTTTGTTCCCCTGTTTTCCGTGATGCCTCCTGAGAAGGGCATGGGGAGTGTGAGCTTACTTGGAAGTAAGCCTTGTTGACTACAGCAGGGCTTACTCCCAAGAAAAGCTTGTAGAGTTCGGCAAGCTTGGATTCCAATCCATTCCTTGACGATGTAAAACTGAAATAATGATAAGACCGCAGCATTTGGAAATGACTACAACTCCCAGAAGACCCCAGTGGTGACCCACCGAAGCATCACTTTTCCAGCCTTTGCCTAAGAAACTGCATTTTACCAAATCACATGATGGTGGTGTCCAACTTTGTGATGTTTATGATTCTACTCGGGATAAGCAAATGATATGATCTACAATGCCTATGAACCCTGGCCGTCAGCCGTACAGGCTGGGGCAAATGGGAAGCGTGGTGCTAAATATGTGGAAGGCATCAGCTTGTTTATGGGAAATGTCTTTCTTGGGTCCTTCTTAAAGAGAAAGGCAGAGTAACAATATTTTAAATATAGTAAATAAATGTAGAGCAAAGCTTTTTGCCTGGACAGGTTAGGAGGAGCGCGTCACAGAAGGGTCATTCCTAACTTTAAGTGAAAATGGGAACTAGCAGTAAGATACTGGCCAATGGAAGCACAGATATTATATGTATAAATTATGTGAGCGATGTTCCTTTCCCTGCATCTCTTCTTTGGTTTTCTGCTGCTTTTATTTTTTCACCAGTGATCTTCTTATTCCATTCCTGCTTCTCAGGTCTCTGCCCCAAGTGGTTTACAATTTAGGATTCTAAGCATTTTAGGACAGGAGCCTTTTCTCTTCCATGTCTGTAAAAGCACATCTGCCGCTTGCCTTTAGTGTCCGGAAGAGGTTAGTTCCAAAGGAAATGTCTATGAGTTCAATAGGGTTTCCTTCTTCTGAGGCCTTTATCTTCTCTACAATGCTGTCTACAGTTACCTGAACACAGTGGGACTGATTCATGTGCGAACATTTGTAAGACTCTAGGCTCTTAGAATTGTATCTGTGAACCAACTTTTGCAAATGCTAGAAAGATCTGTCATTAATAATAACCAGAAGTGAAGAATGTAGTCAGCTTTTGTTTATCCACATGGTAAAACCAGAACAGCACTATGCAGAATGTTACTATTTGGTTCTGAATAGTTTTCTTGTTCGTTTCAGATGTGGTTGAATGCAATGCCAATGGTATGTGGTATCCAGGGCCATTCCCTTCTCAACAGTGGTAGTTAATGCTCTTCTCAGTAATTGCACCAGCGGTCCTGTGTGCTTGTGTGCGTTCTGCCAGTGTACGTTTAATAGTGCCAGTGGTGTACCACCAAGTATTAAGCTACAGTCAGAACAGAAAATAAAAAAATCACATTTCAGGCCAGTTTTGAGCAGCTTGAACAAATTTGCGAGCATGGGAACCATATTTGGTTTTGTTGCCTTGGCACAGATGCTCGAGGGAGACGAATGATGTGCTATGCTCTTCCAGCCAGACTCTCTGGGATCTTGGAGGCAAAAGGTAATTCTTGAGCAAGGCCAGGTTTAATGAGATTGCCAGCCAGGAGAACCTAACCAACCCCCCCCCTCCACTGGCCCAATAAAGGGTTTTATAAGCTATCTATGTAATGCTTTAAGATGACGGCATTCCCCATTCATGTTGACCTGAGATCTTGGGAGACTGAAGAAGAAGAGGAAAAAGGCTTTGGTAAATGTGTTTGTTCTGGGTCTGAACATTCTTGGCTCATTTTGTCATCGAAAATGTGGGTGGAGGCTGGGGTGGGGGTGGGTGGTCAGTTCTAACTATGTGTGCTCTGGAAGGCTGGACTTCGCACATCACTTGATCAGGTGTTGTTTGAATTGTGCCAGTAGTTGCTTTGCCTGGCGAACTTTTTGACCTGTGCTTGGAAAACACTTTATTACATGCATGTAAAGAGTGTTCAGTGTTGATATATATTGTGTATAGCACGCACGCAAGCAAGCAGGGAGTAGTAAATTATTGCAATATTAAAGAAACATTATACAGACATCATATTAAAACTCATAATAAAAGCAATATTAAAAACAGAGGTAAAAACAAAATAAAATCACTGGTAAAGTACATGGTTCCCATATCAAAGATGCTAAGAGGAACCATGATAGATCAGAGAGAAGGGTCAATCTAAACCCAGCAATGAA